AAGTTTGGCTCGTGAATTTTATAGCTTCCCAAACAAAAGTGCTTTAATTTAATCACCACAGAGAAACTTTTTTCTGCATGCCATCAGCATGGCTGATACTAAACCACAAGAGAGTAACTCGTTGCACTTTCTCTGGCTAAGGTTTTCCATTGATACGAAGTGGAATAAATCTTTAGGTCTGTTGTGAGGAAAGTTAGTTCACTGTGTCGTGCCTAACAATTCTTCTTGTCAGAATCCCTCTTGAATATTTATAAATCGACCCTTTGTTCGTGCATGGAAGAATGTTAGCATATGTCATCTGTTGCTTCTGCTATATATCTCAAGATTCTGGACAAAATTTAAAGAAGGATCTGTAATGTAATCGATCCTAATTTGATATCTCGACTTTAGTTACTTTTACCTCCCTCTGTCATTTCTACAAATATTTCCGTGGCAACTGTTTCAATGAGCTTTGCTCTTTACTGCCTCGACTGCATGAATCTAAGCGCGCTACTAGACTAGCAAAAAGATCGCACCGCTTTACCGTTGAACTAATTAGATACAATTTGCCATCTTCCCGAATCGTGTTCCTTTATTTTCATTTTCCTCACGAAAGTCTTTCCTTTTCTCACTCCTTGTAATCCCTGTCTTATGGCATATCAACTTGCTTGGAGTGAAAGTCATTGTGCTACGTTGTCTAAAAGTATAGGTCAGTTTCTGTCAATTCGTTTAGAATAAGTAAATACGGCCAAATTATTTTAACTAAGTTTAATTTTTGTTATCCATTATACTACCTAGAAAGATTTTTTTTTAAAAATTAGTGTATTCCAATGATAGTGGTTTGTCTATGTTACCCCTTATCTGTTCTTTTTGCGGACATTTATCGACGCTTGACTGCAACAATATGTCTTATATAAAGTTATCTCGCAAAACACAACGATATTAGTGAAAAGTATAAGCAAGCAGCTACAGCTGAAATTTGAACCCGGATTGCCTATTCCATTTCCGTGCTCATAACCAGATTTCTATCTCAAATTGAACCAAAAGATTTTTTTTCTCATTGTATAAAGATGTGCGAGTTGTATTACCCGAAAAATGGAATACGTGAAATAAGTTCAAATATCGGTCTTGTCACTTGAGTTCACTCAACACCGGGAAATTTTAAAGCTGAATAAATTTCATAAGCTCTATTCACTTGTCTTTTCTCATTACAATCATGGTTATTTATAGATAGATCGATATGCAGAGAAAGTACTTCTATTATAGGAAGGTGACAGACATGCTAGTGTGAATAAAAATTAGTATTTGAAAGATAAATAAGAAGAAAATAAAGAAATAGGTAGACGTGATTAATAAGAAAGAAAGAAATAGGTGGAAAAAATAAGAAAAAATAAGGAAGAAATGCATAGAAGCGATGAATAAAATGAAAGAGATAAGCCGATGCGATGAGAAAGAATGTACAGTCATTATTGATGACTGAGAGACATAAAAAATATTAAGATAATCAGACAGAAACGAGGTATTTATAAAGAAAGAAAGAACGAGAAAAACAAAGACTTAAATAATGAACAGACAAAAAAAAATATTTAAATGAAAAGAGATAGAAAGATAGGAAGGGTATGATGAAAGGAGATAAAGACGAAAAATAGCAGACAGAAAAGAAGAAAAAGAAAAGGCGCCGACGTAGAAAGGAAATATATAGAGAATAGAAAAACGCAAATAAAAAATAAAAAATAGCTACAAAAAATGAATTGTAGATAAGAATGGTAATTTTCGAAAGTGATTGCTTTGTAGCAATACCAACAGGAAGAATATATGAAGAAAAATATAATGAACTGCAAAAGAAAATCATGAAAAGAAGTGTACAGGAAAATCTAACGGGTCAGATAATACCTGCCCGTAGAATTATTACCGAGAGTAAACACGGGGTCGTTCCTAGAAGGGTAAATGTAAGGGAAAAGTATTGGCTAAATTTGAAGTTCGATCCTTTCATCGCAAGAATTCTTCGATAAAATGCTGGGTAATTATATTGCAGAAACTATTTTAGCACCCGCTTCTGGCGAACGCTGTCTCAGTTACCTCGCAAATGAAAATAATGGCGGCAATATTTTGGTTGGAGGGAAACTAAACACAATCATACAATAAATAGGAAATATCCTTAGTGTTTGGATGTAAGGGGGAAAACATGCTATAGAAAGGAATGCGTATAGAATTATTTTACTTTAATACAAGAAAAATAAAACACATGTACATATTTAAAGATATTTAAATTATAAGAACGATGTTTTCAGAAATCTTTCTGCAAAAGAGTTTATATTTGAAATAATTATGAACATGGCAAAAACTTTGCTAAAGATTGTTATCCATTATTGATGTATTTTACTCCTGTATATATGTGTGTGCGTGCATGTGTGTGTCTGTGTCTATATGTATATATATATATATATATATATATGATAAAAATATGATTTTATGATAGGCTATATTCAAGTCCACAATATCAGGATTAGAGCGTATGCAAATCTAAAACTATAAAAAAAAAGGACATAAGGTCAACACAGAGCGGTGACAGCCTGATTCAAGATTGAAAAGCCAGCTTCAGGCAATGAAGTTGTTTTTATGCATAAAACAGACTGTCACCGCTTTGTGTTGAACTCGGTGTCCACTTATATAATTTAATGTCTGACCACTCGTATTCGAGGATACACGTCTACTAATGTGGCTAGCTAATCCCTATTGGAGACGCTTTCTCAGGCACATTTTGTGTTTGTTCAACACCCAGAGAGCTCACCTGTGTTTTACACTGCAACTATGCTAGACATTAGTTAAAGTTTCTGGGAGACAAGCGTGTTGTCTAGCGTGATCAGCAGTCTGAACAAGGCTAGCACACTCAAAGCCTCGATTACGATGACTTCTGACTTTGTGCTAGGACAACCATCGACGGCTTCTAGATATTACAATTTCAGTGACAAGGCTTGGGCCAACTCGTGGTATGGTTTTCAGGCATTTTTAAAAGTTGACGCATGCTGGGATCGACCCCTCCCTGTCAATAACATCAGGAAATCAGCTTCCAGATAAATCGACCATGGTGAGATTAGAACACGGGTCTCATGGTGACAAGATGGACGTTCTAACAAATTGTGCCAATACACTTATATAGAATTAATACAAATAGCTGTAATTTGTCTGTTAGCTGACTGATTCTATATTCAGCTTCATATGCACCTCGATTTTCTTAGATGAAATATAATTGTTCAATGCACTCTTCAGGATTATTGAGTAATTAACTATGAATATATATATATATATATATATATATATATATATATATATATATATATATATATATATATAATTTATATATCAAACAATGTTAAATAAGTTAATGACAAAATGGAAAAGTCTATGTGACGCATTTCGTCCTTGAAAACTTATTCCTCGAACTTTCGTCTATGTATTACTTGTGGTAATCAATACAGTTGATTGGAGGAAATCCCTCCTTCCAGTATTTTCATTATTATGTTGTTTTCTGTTAAATCTTTTATTGTTCTAGCTGTAGTTGTAACAAATTTTATTTTAAGCTTAGATAAATTCTGTGGTTTATACTCCAGCTATTTTGAACAGTCATACGTTTCATTTTTTGAGAGAAGCTTCATAATCTGGTGTGCTGGCACTTCTGAAAAAGACTAGCACGCTCAAGCTTCAGTCACGATGCCTTGTGTCTTCTGAGCTGAAACAAACAATTGACAACTTCTAAATACTTTACGGATTTTCAGAACTTCAGTCATATCGCAACGGTACCGCAGGTTAGAATCGTCTACCCTAGTCTGATAATAGCAAAACAACACCTTGGTAAGTAGATAATGTTGAGATAGAAGTCTAAACACGTGATTATCTATCTATCTATCTATCTATCTATCTATCTATCTATCTATCTATCTATCTATCTATATATATATATATATATATATATATATATAGCCACAGAACAGTGTTCTAGAGAAAGCATTCTGTAATCATTAGGTCCACTCGTCAGGAGACTTCAGAAAGTGATTGTCGATTTTCACATTTTCGTCATTTTAAATTAAGTTGAAAAATAATGTATGCATTATTTATTGTATTTTGGGGAGGGGGGCTCGCGCGCGTGTGTGTGCGTGTGTGCGTGTGCGTGTCTTTTGTGTGTGTGTATTTTGTGTGTGTGTGTGCGTGTGTGCATATGTGTAGAGTGTCGTAGTTATTTATCTTATTAATCATTTTCTTGTCTCTATATATTCTCTCGCTATTCATTTTTCTTTTATTTCTCTCGCTAACTCTCTCTATATATACACACACATAGATTGAATATATATACTTTTCAAGTAAATTGAATTGAGTTCTCCGAGCCGCTAGCATTATTTCATATAGAGAAAACGTTAAAATTCCTTTCCTTTCTGCAGTGCGACAATGGCCTAGAGTTAAGATGTCTGACTGATGTCAAATCAGTCGTGTTTCGATCCTGGCTTTTAAATTTAAACTACGTTTAACAGCAAGGCCTCTTAATTGCTGGTGTTCTCATGTCAACCCTGGCCCGGGGTAGTAGCATCTGGTGTCAAATATGGGTAAATAGTTAACCTCCAAACTGGTGTCAGAACACTATGAAAGTGTAAATATAGGTTTTAATACCAGAAATACTTTAAATATGACCAGCTATACATTTTTGGAAAAAATATTACCTTCTATGGTTATTTGAAGAAAATAATATTACCAGAAATACGCCTTTTGTAGGTAAAATATTACCAGAAGTAGATTTTTTTGAAGGGGAAGATATTACCAGAAATAGACTTGAAAAAAATTTTTTACCAACAATAAAAATTTAGTCGGCATTAAATAACCCATTGTGGTTGATATGCCGTAAACCAAAGCAAACCAAACAAAGCAAAACACCTTTTGCTCTTGCAAAGTAAGCATTAAATGACGTATCTTTTGTCGGTAGATTATAAGTAGTAAAGGCCTTCATTTGATTTGAGATCTTTTCTACCTGGATGCAATATCTAGGTGAATTTACTCAACATGCATGTCACTTACTGCTCAGCAGTTCGGTGGAAAGTAATCCAGATGCAAGTTCAAAATACGAATTTTGAGTTACATGCAATATTTCATGCACGTATGTCATGATGAAGTTTTCCACTTCAATATTTCGACTGCTTCGGTGCAGGACCTGAGGCTAGTAGAATCAGGTTTGATTCTTTTTCCTCATGATCCTTTCAGTGGGATTCTACATAGCTTAGCAGGTAATCTCCTCTTCAAGCTCTTGAACGACAGCCAAAGACCACGGAATACAGTGTGAGTCACCATAGGTTCGTACACCAGGTTCTGAATTCAAAGTTTTCCTTCTTCTAGACCGGTTGAAGCACGTTCCACGCGAGTAGTAATAGAGCAGCTAGAGGCTTGCCACATACCACCCGTGGGAGAGAGGTCAGAGGGCTCGTGGACGCTTGTGGACAACATCGATTGGAGAGTGACGTCTGGGCTACTCCAGCCAAAATATGATGATATTACTCTATGTTTGGCCTGATGTTGATTTTGTAATGATAGAGGATAACCTGAGTAGTCAGTTACTGAAGCGTTACAGGGAGCCGATCCTTTTACTTACATCCTTTTAATGGATCGCATGTACGTGTTCCATTTGAGGCTAGATGCGAGTTACAGGCTCAAGTCTTTCAATGGAACGTGCCTTTCTGAGGGGACAACGGCTTAACTTGATTGGTGTTAGTACAGTATTAGTTTGTTTTTCGAGGCTTTTTGATGGTTATCATTTGGATTCGTTTCCTAGCATTATATTGCTTTTTACGCCTTTTGATTGAAATACCGTTTTAAATCCCGGTTCAGTAAGAATGCGTCTGTTGTCTTGCATTTTTGTAATCATATCTCCACAAGCAAGGCGTAAGGTCATTAAGGCGTAAAGTCAGTAAGGCGCAAGGCGTTACGGAGTAAAATGGACCATAGAGTGGAGTAAATGTGAAAACGTTGCTGATGAGAAAATAAAATAAAAAGAACAAGATTCAATAAGGTAGAAGATGACGAGGGACGTTGCATTTAAATTAAGTGTATAGTTGATAGAAAAGCAAAAGGCTATACGAATCAAAACTGTGGGAGAAGAAACTATTAGAATAGAAATTGCGGCTGAATTTCACACTTTCAAAAGTAAAATAAGGAGATCTAGTTGCCAATCTTGTAGTATGTTTAAATTAAATAAGTCGACATACTAAAAAAAATAGTATTTAAATTTTCGCTCTCAAAATTAATGTATAGATGAGATTTTTATCCCAGGTGAAAAAAACTTATGCTGCTTCATAAATTAATGATTATAGAGATTCATAAGGCTGCCAAAGTTATAACAAAACTATATATATTCCTTTATAAAAAAAAATCCTGTTTTTTTATGTTTAATGTTCTCTTTTTTTGGTTGAAGCGCAAAATGAGTTTTCTATTTCTACATATACTTCAGAGGGAATAGAGCCTTTCAGGACATCATCATTTTTTGCTTAATTTTGGTGTTAAAATGATGGATCTTGTCGCTGGGAAATATAAGATCTGTTTCTATTCTACTATATTTAAAGTTTATAGTATTAATGCTTTTCATAGCTGAAGAACCTTGTTTCTGTACTGTGAATCATATTTCATTACTGTCAAGCTCTAAAACTGTTCTACATATTAAATATTTACGGTACATGTATATTTGAATTTGAAATGTATCTTTCCAAAGAATGTTAGTCTGGAGCTAATTAAATCTTGTCTTTCATACTGACAACATCCAGGTCTTCATAATGACTACGATAGTCGAAATTACTCAAAAATAAGCAGAACAAACAAAGAATTTTGTAAACTTTATTCACAATTTATATTGAAATGTAAAACAAGAAAATTAGAAAAGACAATAAAATTAAATAGACAAATGTTATCGTTTCTATTTGGCAAAGCTTATTAATGTGGATTCTTGCCACATCTCTCTCTCTCTCTCTCTCTCTCTCTCTCTCTACACACACACACACAAAGACACACACACACACATATATAATTATATAGAGATTATATTAAAGCATTTTGAAATCACTACACAAATTTTTTTATGCTTCAATACTATAATTATACCTCTTCAGATGATGGTAGGTAACTGGTGATTAACTTATTTTTAAAGAAATTTAAAAACAAAATGCCTCCTCTTTTCCGACAGTTAAAGTGGGGGACATAAGGTCAGAATTAAAAATAGATCTTTGGGTATGACTTGATTAACCAATTAAATGTCAGATCTACGCTAAATAGAAAAGTATGCTCAGATGGTGGGTTGGCTGAGTTATTTTTTCAAATTATGGAACATAGAGATACCATCATTGACGATTGCGGAAAAAAGTAATCGACAAATGTATCGTGATTGTAGACAAATATGACATGTTCAATTTTGTGAAAGGGCATTGATGGAGGAGGTGGGAAATTCAAAGGTTAATTTAACAGAATTTTGTTTTCAAAAAGTTCTAGTTTTTTTTTAATATTTTCCATTTTAACTTAGGTGTTTAATGAACTGTTTTAAAGTTCCAAAATTATTTAGAACGCGATATCTTATTTTTGTACGCGTTATTAGTGAAAGATAATATATGTTGGTACCGCTTACGGTCAAATCACGCTGAAACACCGGTTCTCGTACGATCACCGAAGTTAAGCATCGTAGAGCCAGGTTAGTACTTAGATGGGGGACCGCTTGGGAACACCTGGTACTGTAAGTCCCCAAAGTCCAACCCTTACCTCACAGTCGGTGGGGGTGTAAACGGTAGTGTCAGAGCTATACCGCCCGGAACTTCGTTCCTGGTAGGGCCACCCGCAGCGGACAGGTCTGACACACGCCGGCTAACAAGGGCTCTGGTGAAAATCCAAGGAGCGTCTGCATCGGTAACCGGCGGCTTCTGGTCGTTCCTGTCTCTGCGTCTGTGGGAACCCCGCGGCAAGCAAGAACGTTATCCGAGTAGGCCTGGGTACCCTACATCTGTAATTTATCCCAAGAATCTTCTTCTCATAATTGGAAGAAGCCGGCTCAATCCGCCCAGGGTGAATGCCGCATCAGTACAGTACAGTATGTTGGTACAGTCTAGTTTTAAAAGAATTCTTGGTACTCCCGATGCAAAATTTTTAACTGTTGTATTTTACATAGTAGAAATAGTTCTTAGGTAAACAAGAGAGTTTGTTTAACATCTATTTTGTAATGGACATTCGTTAGAATTTCTACAATTACACTTCTTGGTATTATCTGCGTTTTTTCGGAATGTCAATTATTACTCAGGTTTTTGTATTGATTTAAAATTATATTTTCCTTTTCAATATTTTTTCAAGATTATATATTAAAAACGTTAAATCCAATGAAAGAATAGATCTATTCGTAACCCAAGCTTCACGTG